CTGATGGATCTGTCGAAGTTGTGATTCGCCCTGTAGAGAGCGGTGTCTTATATTGCTTCGTTTCAAGCTAATCATAATAAATTGAAGTCAAATTTCGAGTAATTGACTTTTTGCCGTGTGAATATACGTTGTCCAGGGTGCACCACGTGGAGTTAAGTCTATCACGCACTTCTTATTGCATAAATTACTTATATCAAATGGTTGAATCTTTGATATTTATCATTAGCCCCACAGATATCAGAATGGGCTCAGCCGGGATATGAACCCGGGACATCTCGCACCCAAAGCGAGAATCATATCTAAAGACCAATGAGCCATGTTCTCCTGTTTTTAGGAGATTCACCATAATTAAATCTTGTAAGTTTGAATACGGATAATGACGTAAAATGAAATTTGAGAAACTGTGAGGCACAACTTACATAGTGCAATAATGAGAACAAAGGGCAGATCCAAAGCCTATCATGGGTTTACACATTGCAAAAGATGGAATGAGTTCTGGAAGCCATTTAAAGTGGAGTTGAGGAAACAGACAACACAGAAAGGGTAATTTGTCCAGGGTCTATTATGAGCCAACTTCTTCCTGCATTTCTATCTCATATATTCTTCCTCATGGGGCGAGCGATTGACTTATTTCCAAGAGGTCCACACTGAACAACGTATACTCATACGTCAAAAAGTTTATACCTCGGCAATCGACTTCAAACCATTGCGATCTGCCCTAAACGAAACTTCAATAGGAGAAATCGTCCATTTCAGGTCGATTTACAACTTCAATTGTTCTTTTGGTGGAATTTTTGAGGTATGTCACAAGACAAAAGAAGCTAAATCCAGAAAATCCTGCATACATATGATATAGACATATTCACAATTATGAAAGCCAACCCTACGGATGACAAACTCAAATACAACCAATTCCCAGGTAAAACCTTATATCTCCTGTCTTAAGAGTGGCATTTAAAAAGTAAAATATTTACCTGAGTAAATGAAAGCCACTAACACATTCAACTATCCCCCACTTCGTCTTCACTTCGTAGAGCCACTGCCCTCACGCCTTTTGTAGTGTGGATACGCGACACTGACCACAAACAGGCCACCGGGTTTCGTACGAAAAAGGAAGCGAAGTGGAGATTGCACTGTATCTATCCAAGAAGAATGTATGTTCGGAATGAGGTTTATCAATTTACATATTTAGTGAATATTTATTGAAATATTTGTAAGTAAGCACAAATATACTTTCTGGTATTTTTTTTCAATTAATTTCATCGACTGGTGAAATTAGAAATCGTGGCTACCATTGCAATGAAATAGATGTCTTTTTGAGATTTTTAGTCAAATATCCTATCATACGTCTTAATTGAGAAATATATAGTGTCAAATGCAATCAAGTGGGGTGGAGTTGGTGGGGGGGAGGGGAGGGTACTCAGAAGCTGCCGAGACATCTAAAGTTAAATCAAGCAAAAATTAATTGCTCACACAAATTTCTCGTTTCAAATGCCATACAGTGAACGAAAGATCAGTTGCTACTGGAGACGGGACCTGATAGCATTATCGAGTTCAAATATTACAAGCAAATTTTTTTGCGGCTAACAGTAAAAGTGGAATTTGAGAAATACAATTCGCAAAATAACTTTGAGAATCGCAATTTGCAAAAGCATTTTTTTTAAAAATAGTAATAAACGCTCATCCACACATGCTAGGGTAGGTAATCTAGATTAAGTAATGAGGAAGACCCATCTGATTCGGTGTCCAGCCGTAAAGACAACGACAGTTACCCAGAGATACTGAGAAGCCAGCAGTAAACTACTGTTAACTCTCCTATAGCCTAATGATATGTTCCTCCCAACGGCCCCTCTCCCTTGTGAAAGTCGAAGCCAACTAAGGGGCTAATGATAAATACCATAAAGCCTGCCATTTGAAATAATAGCGTCTCCAAACATAGTATATTTTATCTTCAAAATTGAGTGGTTAGTGTTCCTAGTACGAAGGCGTCGACAACAGTTTTTTCCATGCACATTTGATCCACCTCGTGCATCCCTCCGTTTTGTTCACGACCATATTTCAAGATAAAACTTGTAGATATTTCAGATTTCTTCATATTCACCTCTATCAAATTCTTAAACCCCTTGAAATGTTCCCGCATTTTAGTGAAGTTTTGATTCCCTTCCTTCTATCAATTAGAAGATCCTTGGAGAAAACATTTCATTCTCATTAATTGAATTTCTCTCTATTTGTCTATTCACGTGAATTTCGATCACAGGAATTGGAAGATTTTCGTGAAACCCAAACTTAACAACAGGGAAATGGCAGAATGCAGATCAATTTTGTACCTCTGAAGTCCTTTTCTATGTTAACAAATGCATGGTGGTGTTCCCTGTAACCAGGTGAAAAAGAAGTTCATGCTGCAATTCTGCACATACGCGGTGCAGGATAGCGAGGTGAGATCTCGTTGTACTCATGACACACGTCGTAGACCTCTCTACTGCTCATTATAATTGGGGCAACGAGAGCATCCCCGGCCCGTCTCATGATGTGGTCATGGGTGTACTTGCGCGTGGAATGGCAACACAAAACGCGTAAGGCCTGTGCGTCATCGGGGCGGAGCATGAGCACACACGTTGAGACCCGAAAGATAGTGAACTATGCTTGCGTAGATTGAAGCCAGAGGAAACTCTGATGGAGAACCGTAGCGATTCTGACGTACAAATCGATCGTCAAACGTGGGTATAGGGACGAAGGACTAATCGAACCATCTAGTAGCTGTTTGCCTCCAAAGTTTCTCTCAGGATAGCTGGAATTCATTGGTCTAATCAGTATATCCGGTAAAGCGAATGATTAGAGGTACTGGGTTCGAAATGAACTCAACCTCTTCTCAAACGTTAAATGGGTGAGATGCTCGACTCGCCTCGTGTGCGTGTGTGTTCCACTGTGCGGAATCGGGGGTTGAATGGGGGAGTGCCAAGTGGGCCATTTTTGGTAAGCAGAACTGGCGCTGTGGGATGAACCAAACGCGTGGTTAAGGTGTCTAACGCTGATGCTCATGGGATACCACAAAAGATTTTGGTTAATATAGACAGCAGGACGGTGGCCATGGAAGTCGGCACCCGCTAAGGAGTGTGCAACAACTCACCTGCGGAATTGACCAGCCCTGAAAACGGATGGCGCTAGAGCGTCGGACCTATACGGCTCCGTCATCGCAAGCTGCATCTCCCCATGGGGGGTTGTATATTACGCGAGCTTGTATGATCGCAGCTAAATTCATGGTGCAGGCATGGAGTGCGATGACGAGTAGGAGGGTCGTCGTGGTGAGCGTAGAAGCCTCTGACGTGAGTCAGGGTGGAACCGCCACGGGTTCAGATCTTGGTGGTAGTAGCAACTATTCAAGTGAGAACTTTGAAGGTCGAGGTGGAGATGGGTTCCATGGGAATAGCAATTGGCCATGGGTCAGCCGTTCTTAAGCGATTCAGTAACTCGGTACAGAGTCGTGATGTGCCTTATACGTTTTTGTGTTGCTTTCATAATAAAAGCATTTGTGTGCGTGCTGGCAGCCTCTCAGAGCGAAAGAGAATCGGATTAGTTTACCCGACCCTGCCCACGGAGATAGGTGGTGCATGTGTGCTTGTATTGTTTGGTTGCGAGTTACTGACATCATCAAGCGCGGCAGCGCAAACAAACTCGGAGACGTCGGCAAGAGTTCCGGGAAGAGTTTTCTTTTCTTTGTAAGGAGGACTACCACTCTTGGAGTCGGATTGTCCGAAGATAGGGGTCTCGTTTCCGTAAAACACCACTCCTCTTGTGGTGCGCGGTACGCTCATGTCGGCCCTTGAAAATCCGAGGGAGGCATTGTGATTTTCGTGGCAGTCCGTACCCATATCCACATCAGGCCTCCAAGGTGAAGAGCCTCTGGCACTGGTATAATATAGGTAAGGGAAGTCGGCATATTTGATCCGTGACCTCGGGAAAAGGATTGGCTCTGAGGGCTGAGTTGAACAGGCTGAGGTAGAAAACGTGCCTGCTTAACTCGCCTCTGGTTCGAGTGCTGGTTCACACCCGCTGACGTTGATGTGCATCGGATTATAATGATGTCGCCTGGGGGTTGATACGATATCTAATTGTGGAATGAGTGTGGAAGCAAAAAATCGTTTGTAGACGACTTAATGTTTTGTCTGGGAGACGTGAGTATTGGAGTAGCTATCACACTGCGAGGTATTGAGTCGTATCCCTACTAGACGTACTGATTTTGGGCCTTTAAGCCACATTCATTCATGCATTCATACCTTCAATTATATCTCACCTTTTCATAATACGTAAGTATCAAGTTCACTCTTAGCCTAAGGAGTTGCAGTGTGCGTACGCATTCTTTCCGTCTTGGTCATTTCATTCATTCTCTCTCTCATTCTAGCACCCAAACTCACAACCTCCTTTTAGCACCAACTATTACTCCACATTAACTGCCAAAATTCATATGCGTATACGTGGAGGCAACATGCCACAATACCACGTATACGCATAATTTCCGTACCGCTCGCCCCCGCAAGCTAGGATTGGCTGAAAGGACGAGTGTTGCACGTTTATAGACATTTGCTTGAGTACACGTGGAGAGGGTGGGTGTGGTGGGGGATATCGTATCACTCATATTTATATAATTATTCACTTTATCATTACATATTTTTTGAAATGAGTGATGAATAGTTCCAAGAGTATGTGTGAAAGCTAAAAGCCAATTGTAGCCAAAACCTTGGTCATTTCATTCAATCATTCATTCAAGCACTTAATCGCTCAACCACTTTTAGCACCAACTATTATTCCATGAGCATTAATAATGCTTGAACTACTATTTCTTCTACCACTTCATTGACTGCCATAATTCATATGCACAAATAAGCGTATACGTTGAGGGCAACATGCCACAACATCACGTTTGGGCATTATTTCCATACCACAACTTCACAAAGATCTTGGTAGTCCCTTCACCTTAGTGTTCCAGATGTATCTACTGCCATTCGTGCTGAACGACCAGAAATGCCAATGTTCCATCTTGCTACATTAACATATTGTCTTTCTATATTCTTAAGGATTGCTAAAAGGTCTTAGCAGAGGTGAAGTTAATTTAATTCATTTCAAGTGCACTAAAATTTACGTAAAATAAGATTCTTGATGTTTTTGGCCTTCTTCACTGATTTACTACACTTTGGACTCTTTGTTCTTTCCTATTCTCGTACAATTGGGGTGTACTATAATTTTACCCAAATGTGGTGCCCCCTGGGTAAAGTATACTCATAAGGCATAAAGTCTATGTGCCGGCAGTTGGCTTATGACAGCAAACTACCATGACCTCAATGTCTATCTGTCTGTCTGTGATTCACTCTTCTCTTTCCACTCTCCACTTTTTCTCACTTTGATATTCCTCCCTCCTGTGAAGCCCAAAGTCAGTTAATTGGCTAATGATAAGTATCGAAAAGCCTGTTGTTTGAAATAACAAAATTAATAAATATTCATACGACTTGGCAATATTAAAAAATTTGCGGATTTACTCTGGTTTATTTTATTAATTAAAATAGCAGATTGGCAGTGAGTGAGCATTTAGCTTAATTGCCATACTGTTACTATATAAGTAAACGCAATTTTATACACTCATTATCTTTTTGTTTATTACAGTTAATTGAAATGTTATCAGATCACATCCATTTTTCAGCTTCAAATAAGCCTGCGTAATGAATCCCTTGAAGTGAGACTGAAATCAAATTACTTAATAGATCGAGGAAATTAAGGGCTTGAAGAATGCACTATTACCCATCATATCGACAGTTTTTAAGCTACATGAGATACTAATGTGTTATTGGCATTCAAGTAAATTATACCTGATAAACCTCCCGAGCTCTTTTGCACTATTATTACTCCAATCAAATCATTGATTTGGGCAGAAAAATGACATAAAGGAGACACACTCATGATGAATTCATGTTCCACCACGCTTTCTATTGACCCGGACTTGAATTTGATTTAAACCGATGAGCATCGAAACACGTGAACTCTCACTTTAAAGACCTGCAGACTGACCGTATCATCCTTCTTCCAAATGGCGATAGGAAGAAAATAAATGCCAAAGTTAAACAAAATCACTTGATTTATGACCTAAAAATATGTTAGTAGGCTAATAACATGAATTAGATTCATGGTCAATATGTTAGACATAAAGATCAAAGATAAATTTTCTAAAACACTTTATTTCAGCACAGGTGACTCCGTATTGCACGGCTATTTTTTGGTTGAACTTGTTCGGACTTTCTTGAAGTTCATTATTTGTTTAAATGTTATTTATTTGCATGCTATTCCTTCTTCAGTAAGGGGAGGGGGGGGGGAGGTATACGGCTTCAGTCTTCGGTTTCTTCTCATTACTCATTTCACTTGAGATTTGCCACAAAGTATTAGGGTTGCAATTGGTCAGAATTTCATTGAAATATATTTTAGCACCTCATATTATTCTATAACGGAGTCTCGAACAGGAAATTTCATGTAAAGGAAGATTTCGGTTTTTCTATTGCTCAGCATCATTCGCGTTCTTTTATGGTTTTATTTCCACGCCTTCATCGGGATTTGGTTCAAAAGGCCAACAATCTTTCCTTGGCCTTTTTCTGGGCGATCTTTCTAATTCATTTCAGCAATTTCGACTCGTCCAACCTACCCAGGCTAGTGAGCTTCAATTCATATTAATTCCCCAATAGGATTTTACTCAGTTTTGTTGATCACAATAAAAGGGAAGGCAATGAACACCGCTTTCTAACTCCAGGAGTATTCAATATGGTGTTTGTCAGGCTAAATCCGTTCATGTCATAACTGAAACAATGACCAGCTGCAGTTTGGCCCCAATTATCACCGCTGTCGCATATTTGCGATTATTCACATTATTGACCTCATTAGTAGACTAAAAAAGTTCGGGGATCAAGGAGTTTGATAGTTTGAATACCCCAGTTATGTTTTCTCTTCTGAATTTAATTCCTATTAGGCACCTTTTTCCCATATGACCTTGCTTCCCAAATGAAATTACACATTCAGGCCAATTGTAATCAATTTCGAAGCCACTAATCACGTAGGCTTAAAAGAAAAGAAAACATTCATGACAAATTTAAAATGGAATTCCGTTCAGGTTATTGAACATAACTGCGTTAACTAGATTTCTGCCAGTGTCCGAATTTGTGATTCCATTAGCAAGAACCTAGAATGGGATTCGATCATTTCCTTCAACCATTAAGTGAGAGTTGGACAAATTCTTGGCCGAAGCTTCATAGTGGTAAACATTTGCGAAGGTCCTTCGAAAAGGCGAGAAAACCAGACTTTAGGACAACCGTACACACCACAAGAATATATCGTCCAGTTCTCCTTATGCTTTTTTTTAAAAAAAGTAAGACATTTAAAGTGCTGTCGATTTCCGGAAGATTTTTCACCAATTATTCGAACAGAATTAAGACATATCTGTTCAAACTAATTTTAGACAATGCAGTTTGTGAGGCCTTCGCATTCAGTAGTTGTTATTCTCATTAATGGTTAATCTGGAATATGGACGAAACCATTTCCGAAAATGTCCAATTCTCCAAGTCCCTTAGTGAAAGTTTAATCTATTCTCGAACATAGTTCAACCCAATGGGAATATAGTAAATATATTGAGTTTGAAATGCCAATATTCAAATTAATCACATCCAATGCTCCACTCGTATTAGTCAAAGATCCACCAGTAGATTCAACGAATTCGTTCTACGCATAGACCTATCATTAATACTGCGATTTAACTAGCCCAAGTATATTTTTAACCATATCACACACTTAGTTAAACCTATGCTTGCGTTACTAGTGCAAAAACTCAGGCTAAGCTAAGAACCTTTTGCTTTAGTCAACAAAAGTGAGGCTTAAAGGTTTCCACCACCATTTTAGGGGCTTAGTGCTTACTCTAGACATTGTATCTTAGACGCGCTTATGTTTATGTTCAAGTGAAGTGATTTTTAAATCAATTGATGCACTTAAAATGTTTTACTTATAATTACACAGACTGATGTGATATCGATTAGACAAAAACTTGTCACTAAGTTTTGCGGTATTTCATTATACATATCTCCTTCGCTGACGCAAATACTACTTAAAATATTTGTAGAAATGCGCAATGTTATAAACAGGAAAGTCAACTGAAAATATTTATTTGTGCTAAACTAGGTTGCGTTTGGTTTCCAGTAATTTGTAAACAAAGACCAAGTAATAAATTGAGGTATTGCTTATTTTTGACAAAAAAATAAGAAAACTTTTTTGCTAATAAATTTCATACATTCTTTAAAGATGACGTTGTAGATTGATAAAGATACCTACTTGATGGTCATAGTGATGTGGCAGTGAATAAAATTGGGTGACCGATTGTGTACATCTTGTGTGTGTGGAATGGTCGGCCACACTGATTAAGTCCGAATAATTAGTAGATGCAGAATCTACGTTGCTCATCATGTTAGCACTATGGAATCCAAGACGAGTGTTTGAGTAGTCTTTTATAAATTGTTTGAGTATTTATAAAATATTAGTGGATAACCTATCAAGATTGAGGTCAGTCCTTTGTAAGTATTCTCGCGAAATACAAGTAATTGTTGATGGGGTGAAAATAGTAAATTCTATTAACTAATCACTTGCCATTTTACGAAACTATAACCTTCGTATGCAAGTCTGATAAGGGAAGCGTGGAAATTGATTTTACGATTTAAATAAACGCATCAGAATCTAACAGCTTGAATTCAATTAGAAGGGCAAAAATGAAATTGGTGCCCAAGACTGAAGGGAAGGTAGAAAAATGCGCCATCTGCTTGCCTTCTGATAGCAACGGGAAGAGTTTTTTTATTGGCTTGAGATGTTTGAAGATGTTTGTATAGGATGGTAGCTTTTTAAAATAAAGAAGAGTTACATTCAAATCGAGTTTATCCAATCACATTTTCACGAATCGAGTCAAATACAGCTGATGACAAAGTGGATGATTGTGACCAATTCGTCAATTAAACAGTATCTGATTGACTGTTTCCGAATGTAGTTCCTTATTAAATGAATTTGAAGTTCTTAATGCCTTAAATCTAATTCAGTAATTTTGTAAGAAGAGTTTTTGGTTCATTTCAAAATATTATCCTTTACTGTTCTTTCTTTTTACAGACGATTGTTAATTCACTTTGGGCCTAAGTTTCCCCTTACTTCTCTAAATATGATCAAAATTATATTAGTTGAAAATGAAGATAAAAGTGCATTAGCTAAGGCTTATTAGTGTAGCAATTGGCTACAGATCACAATTTTTAGAAAGTTTCACCATTGGTTTATGTTCAAATAACTAACTTGTAAGATTTTGGCTTAAATTAGAAATAAAGGATATGAAAATTTTCCTGATATTATTAAATGTTGCAAGAATTTAATTAGCGAATTATTTTTAATAAAAATTCTAATTGCCTGTCAAAAGTTGGTTTATCTAATGTCCTTTGTGTTGATAGGGGCATGTAGTTACTGTGCATGTGTGGAATTTTAAAACAAAAGTTTTTTTCAAGAATACTGCCTCGTAGAATATTCTTGAACAGTCAAATCCTTAAGCTAATAGCAAGAGTTAACTTTTCTTTGACGTGATATTCACGATTTTTGTCGTAGACTCAAACTGTCTTTGCTCCATGACAATCTGCGTCCACATTTAATTATGAACTTGAACTATTAAGGGAACCACTCTTTACTGCAATGAAAAATCAGGCTGTCCAAAATTTTGACACTTGAAACAAGTTCAAATTAGTGGCCTAAGAGATGAGGTAATTTCATACAAATAAAGAGTTATGTTGGACTAAAAAATAAATCGAATTTTCCATTGACTGTCATTAGTAGACAAAACAATGCAGTTCTTTAATTCAAAGTACCCTCACGAGGAGTTCGGCCCAAACAGCACAGTGCGCACATTGACTATTCACGCCTATATAAACAACTTTTATTGCAAACAAATCATTGCGCACAGATTCCTGAATATTTAAAAGACTGACTGAAGCAGACTCCGATTTCTCAGAAATCATGGGTAAAAATCTATGTCTTTACCTCTCAGTTGGTGTTTTCGTATTTCTTTTGATCAATTTGACCACAGTGTCAAGTCAAGGCACTTCACGATTCGAGAGCTTCAAAGCCTGTGTTAAGAAGTGCTCTGAGATTGGTGGCGAATGTAATGATCAAGTTAAGGACAAGTGGATGGAGTTTCTGAAAAATAAGAAAGATATTGCACGCCACTTAAGAAAGTGTTGCTTGCGAAATGAAAACAGACCAGACGCGAGTGCGGAAAATAGTTTTGCAACCTGTGTTCGAATCAGATGTGGCGCGGCGCTTTGGGGGTAAGTTTTGATAACATCGAAATACTCCATCTTATAACTATTATTATAATTGTTACGTTTGTCTCTTAAATTTGGCCGTTTCCTCTCTTAACATTTTGTAATTTGTCTGTCAATAAAAAACTATGTGATCACTTACGATTTTCTCATTTCAATCTCTTCTTACATTAAGCCATGCCTTTTCAATTGTATCTTTTGACTCTAATTTATGATAGTGGCCATTGCTTAAAAACTTATACCCACTTTGTAGTTATTCTTCATTAAGCAGGCCAGTTCCCCTAAACTTGAGAAGAATCCTTAGTGGATAAATGCGTCTTTTTATTTTCACTCATATTTATTTTTTGCACTCGTCGATATTTGGATATTCAAGACTATAACATGAGCGCTTTTGCGAGGTTGACTTAGGCCAAACAGAAATCTTATTGAGTATGGTAAATATGGTGCTCTCTTAGATAATTAGAAGTCTTTTCGATTGATAAGTTCTCCTCATGATTTTCGTTATCTTCCATAATGGTAGTCCTCCTCTTGCCTTTCAAGAATTCACAAATTTTACATAATTGAAAAGGAAATCTTTATTTACAGCTCATGTAATATCGGCTTGATAGTAACCAATATTAATATATATTTCAAACTAATTACCCTATGATTCTCATTTGATACCCTATTCTTCTACTGTCTAAGTCTGCTTGGTGTTTATTTTAGATGCCAAATGATAAAGAAGCATTCTGGATTCTTGTCAAAAGACGAACAGGAGCACCTGAAGGGCGGTGATCATTAATGAAGTCCCTAATTTTCAACCCGCCAATTTTACAAAACCGATTTATAAACCAATACAACTGAACACCAGCTTATCTAGTATTTTTTTCGAATATCTTCTTAGATGTTGATTTTTTTCATAAAGGAAATTCTCAATGAGGTTTCTAACGAGGTAGGCTTTTTATTTGAAGGCTATTTATTGGATGGCTTTGGTAGTGGTTTATAGAGGCGAATTTTGGCAAAAGGTTGCAAATTTTTCACTTGTGGCCCATATTGTCCTTTTCATCTTTTGAAAATGCTCCTTCGTGTTTTCTCACGATTTTGCACCTGAATGGTAAGAAATTAAGAAATGAAAAGTTTAAATATTACAAAATCCTGATGAATTGTTTGGCTATCGTTAAGAACAATAGTGTCTTAAGCCATATCCAATCACACTGTGTAATTTAATTAACTTCTATTAAGACAAATCTCTTAAAACAAGTGACGAATATTTCGAAATTGTTTATACTAAAAATGTTGAACCTAAAATAAATAGCACCCAGTGTTCAGGGTAACTCCGTGTTTCGCTGGTGTGTTTACTTCATTAATGCGCTGATACGCTCGTTTTTCAACCCAGCCTTAAATCTAGGGGTTTTTGGCATAAATAAAGTCCACTTCCTAGTTTTTATCTATGAAGCTGTAAATTGAATTAAAATATTCATAAAAAATACGCATAGAACAAAATTGTAAAATTAAAATTTTTCCTCTTTGAAAATACTTCGTAGTTAATAATCTATTATGTGGGAGTTTAAGTTCTAACAAAGGGGTGTGCGATAGACTTACCTCCACGTGGTGCACCCTGGGCAACGTATACTCATACGTCTATTACCTGGCAGTTGACTTCTGACTTCAAACTACCATCACCCCACTGTATGTCATATTTAACCCCTTCTACAATACTCATCTTACCTTTTTCCTACCTTTGTGCCTGTCTCCTTTACATTTTTGAAGCACTTTTCTGTTCCCCACTTCTCAACTTTCAGTTACTTTGATGTTCCTTCCTCCTATGAAGCCCGAAGTCAGCTAAAGGGTTAGTGATAACTATCAAAACGCCTGCCATTTGAAATAAATAAATAAATAAATAAATTCTAACATTTCATTGATAAAACTAAAGCGTATTTCATATTCTTGAGTTTTTTATTAGCAGGTATTGCCTGCTTATTCGGCTCAAATTTAATTGATTTACGAGGTATTATTAATTAATTATGAAGCTAAAAATCAGATGCAACTTTTGGCCACAGTAATGGAAATCACTTGGCCAATTACAAAACACTGGCATATGTAAAGTAAACAGTTGAATGCGCTAGGCACCGCTAACACCGTCACAATAGCACAATATTCTTCAAAGTTTATGTTGCTATTGGAAGGGTGCTTTCCGGTTCATCGGCAGTTTTCGGAGAGCAAGATGGAATTTAAAATTGCATTTCATCGAGAAATAAGAACACGAAAGTCACCCAAAAATATATCAATTACAAATCAAAACTGTTAAAACTGATTGTCTACATGAAAAAATCAATTTTCTCTCTTGGAAATCATATGAGCAGATGGGTATTTCGATCTAAATACACTTAGATTCGTAAACTACACTCATTAATGTATAGCTCTTTTAAGGGGCGAGCTTATTATTAATGTACCTATATCGTGGAGTTTGCCCAATTTTACAGTGCGAACCAAATATTATTAACACGAAGATTTGAGTGACGGGTTATTAACTTATTTAATTTGAGAAATGTGTATATTAAAATGCCGTTTAATACTATTTTTGATTAGTAATATGGGGAAATGTTTCTTTTATTTGCTCCCAATTTTACCAATTTGGTCTTTTCATTCTAGGTCTTGGGATTATTAAAGTGGAGATGTTGTATGAATATTATGAGGATAACAATTAAAGTTAAATGTTAAAGCTTTTTCAAGGTGCATAAACATGAAAAAAATGCATTAAAAGAAACAATTACCCATAGAGCTGGGAGCCACATTTAACCCTAGTGCAAGTGGCGAAACTATCGGTTGCAAGCGCGTTCTCCTTCTTCTCATTTTTCATACAACAACTGTTGACAATTTTGGAGATATTTTTTCTGTTCTTATAGAAATTGTGCCATAGGTCTTTAGTGATCTCTATGCACTCCTCATATTGGTTGGAGCATTCTTTGATACAGGCCTCAAACTGTTCTAAACTTAATTTTCGTGACCTCGCGTTTCCGAAAAGAAGCACCAAGCCGCATAGAGTTGTTAGTATAACGAACGCTTTCATGGATGAGAAAAGTACGCGGCCTCTCTATTCGGTGTATTTATATGATTAAGGTGATTACACTTTACCTGACTTCATCACTGATCACATCAAAGGAACTTCGGTTTTTCGACATCAAATAGACGTATGAAGACTGTTTTGCCATAAGTTAGTCCAAGATGTAATGCCACGTTACCTTAAATTTATCTCTAACTTAAAAGGCGTCCGCATGTAAGACGTTTAATAATTAATTCAGCCCTTCAATCGCACGCACAAAATTGCTTATAAGTGGCATCGAAATGAAAAGAAAATTAGAGTGTACTTGTTTCTATAGAAATGTTTACAATTGAACAAAATGGGAGGGGAGGGGATTAATGATGTATCTCCCCTTTTGAATAGGAAATGTCGCCATATTGTCCCCTTCGAATTTCACATAAAAAATAAATTAAGTTATAATGTCACCAGTTTCTTATCAAATTTTATAGATTTTGAATACTGGTGGCTCATTAAATTCTCTCTTATATATTTTTCTTTTTAATAACTTTTTCTTACATTTTGAAGAATGAAGCATGATTATACTCCGGAAGTTAGAAATAACCAGTATTGTTTACCTCCAATAACACGGAAAGCTTATCAATCTCGTGATATCAACAACGAGATTATTAACCATTAATAAAGCATTACTCCACGACTAGGATCTGAATCAAAGACTGGAAAAATATTCAGCAAAACATCAGTACTTAGCACTGTTGGTAAATCACATGTAAATAACTAATTATTTATTATTTCGAATGACAGGCATTTTGATAGTTATCATGAGCCCTTGGCTGACTTCGAACTTCACAGAGGGGAGAAACATCAAATAAAAATTTAAGAGGGTGGACCGAAGAGTGATTTGTAGATGTAAAAGAGACAGGCACAATGATAGAGAGTAGGGTAAGGTGAGCACTGAAGAAGTGATCGACTATGACATACAGTGAAGTCATGGTAGTTTGAAGTCAGAAGTCAAGTGCCGGTTAATAGACTTTTTTGCCGTATGAATATACGTTGCCCAGGGTGCACCACGTAGAGATAAGTCTTCGCACACCCCATGTAACTAACTATAGTTTAGTATTAAATACATACTTAATTAACTATATTGTGCTTGAGCCTAGTGACGTTGAATTAAACATGAATGTCTAAGATAGTAGCAAAGGAAAAAATCACAAAAATGTCGTTATTGTAATGGACAATCAACTCCTGGTAATTACCCACCATTTTATTAGCTTCGTTTACGTTATTCATGAAAGAGGACATGGAACAGGTTAATTTTATTTAGATAAATTATTGCCTATCGCACTTTATCGATTTTATTTACATGATATTATTCTGCTTACAAGGGTTTCTACTAATGGACAATTGGAATTCTACTTCGTCTGGCATTAGATACGACGAACACCTTTAAGGCAACTTAGCCACAAAATCAATGACTTCAAGGCCGCTTACAAAGTTATATATATATATATATATATATATATATATTCGACAGTCAGTAAATGCAATTTGAAGACTGTTAATCTTTTTGCAAAATTTAAATCTTAAATTTGATTTTCAAATCACGTAGCCAAGCTCTGTTTTGCGGAAAAAAGGAGCTGGTGTACGCCTTAATGGCAAACCGCTTTTGATTAATTGAAGAGGCAAATTTGTCGCGTTGACATGACTGGATATCCAGATTTGTTCAGCTGGCAGTCTTATGCTCCTTAGGAATATGGGAAAAGTATCATGAATATCACGTTTTGAAGCATTCAAATATGATACGGCGATAATGGAAGTCCTAAGGAAGAATACTTGTCATCAACCTTTTATTCTGTTAATACCCAATCTAATCGAATTTCCTTGGCATAATTTATCATTATCTGCGCTTAGATGGGTCAATAGGACTAGAAGTGCAAAATTTTCGTTTTACTACAATGAACTCTAAATGTCCACATTAATCTGGTTACCTTACAAAGGTAGTAAAATGAGCGTTAGTCTAGGCTTCTCTACAAAATAGCTCCCATGTTTCCTTAGAGCAGGGCGGCACCGTAGCACATTAGAATGGAAACCCATATTTATAATTTCCATTTAATCAGTTTTTTCTCATATTTTTCCCCAATTTTATTAAAACTGGCTCATTTATTGAGCTATTATTATTTATCATACACCTATTTAAATCATCTAGCAAAATTTATGGCCAAGTCAAGATGTCCAAAGCTGAAGATTTAGCAAAAATGTCAATATAATCTCAAATAATATAAACAAATACATAGGTAAACAGTGGAATAATTGGAGATAAATATCGTAAAAGTCAAAAATAATTTTTTCGATCTGCCTTTTTATACCGAAAAATATTTGAAACATGAAGTTACGCATTGGTACTGCCAGAATATATGAATTATTCTAGTGTTATTAAATGTGAGCTAATAAGAAAAATTAACAACGAGTCTTTTTAAGTAAACTTGAAAATGAAGAAAACTAAGTTTAATGCGCCTTCAAATTAAACATGAAACGTAACCTGAAAAACCGTTGGAAAAATTGTTGTGAGAAGCAGTTTTATAAAAAGATTTTATGAGTTTGGAAGGCGTGTGGCCCTACAAAGATGATAAATTTTTGATAATGATGCGAATGGGCCATCATAATGACCTGATTGGACATAAAGTGATGTGACTAAAACTTGGACAAGTTAAAAATTATGAATAAGTTCATAATAAATAGTTACTTAAATCACTACAGTAGAAAGATTTTCATTCACTTATACATGGAATAAATCAATTAGTTCCCATAAATTGTGCGTTATAATTCTAAGAAATAATCAGCAAGAAATTTTTAGTTTAAGGTCTCATAAATTTAAAATGTTTCCTAAGACAATGTCCTTACAAAGTCTTCGGAAGCTATTGCAAAACTTGGAAGCAAATCGAGGCCAGTGGCTGAGTAATATAGTGGTTAAGAAATCCAAATCTTGGCGGAATAGATAATAGATCGTTAATTAAGATATAGAGCTCATGGAAAAATCAATCTTATAATTGAGACTCTGAATTATTCATCGACCGATCAAATGCACTATAGTAAGTATGAGAAAAGTGGTGATTTATAATAAATCCAATCACTTGAAGATCGCTCTAAGGAAAGGTAATCGGCAATAGCATGTATGACTTTCACATTCGTTACATTGAAGACAGTGCTCTTCCAGACGTTGGCCGGCATTCGATTTGTTTGAATCATAGAATCAGCTAAATAATATAACAGCCTACAGTAAAAATTAATGCACTTACCTTTGCTTAAAATTATATAAACTAATTTAACAAAAACACTACTTGTTGTTAAAAGACAAGGATATTTTACTTATGATCTTTCTTGTAAGCTTAAAAATCTCCCAGTCGGATATAGGAAAGTGGAATAATAAGTTTATCAAGTAGCCACTCACTCTGTTACCATGTACATAACCGCTAGAACCAAACATTTCGACCTGAAAGTGGTATATTTCAAAGTAGGCCCAGTAATTAGCAGAGCTGCATGAAAATATGAAAGATAAACGTAATAATTATCACTTTGTATTACCGGTAAAATCATTAAACAATTGATTTGATCGCTATTTCTGATTCAGATCCACAAACTGGTCTTACAACGTAGCCCGAAACCATCGATTTCAACTGCTCTCTGTGATATTGCTGCTTAAAAACAGCACCCATTTACAATTTTCGATATACTATCCATGTTAGCGTAGAAATCGCTACACAGTCCATTAGATTAGTGTAGGTGACTTCGATAAAGTTTTCTGTATACCACTGAACATTCCACGAATGTATTCCCTTCTGCAACTTCTGCTGACGAACGTGAGATTATGGAGCAGGGAAGCAGGTGTCTGTAGCACATATGAGGCATCTGTGAGGCCAATTTATGAAGATTTGGGATAATGTATCTTCACATTCTCATTTTGATTCATTAGTTGATAAGCTCATTTCTGGTGGTTCGCATGAAGAAGAAAGACCTATTACTTGGTGGTGGGGGGGGGGGG